CACGCCGCAGTATACCTTGAAAACGGTTATCGTCCCATGCCTAACAGCAAGAAACAGACATGCTGACAGGCCAATCCACATTACTGCATTTTACATCTCCAAGATAAACCTGTTTGATAAAAAACTTTTATGAATCTGTTATAAATATCAACACAAATAATATTAAGATCTCTCTAAAAACTAATGTTTGTGTATTCAGGGACTGTAGGGTTGTGAATGTTCTCACATGTCGAATTTAACACATGATGAGCTCTTCAGGAACACAATAATGAATGTCAGATTCCACATAAGCAGCAGCGTTAGTGAAACTATGCAGAAGAGCTTCCAGCTGAACTCTAAAAATACCAACATTAAGATTCCTGCGCTGAAATGTACAGCGGTGCCTATATATCTTAAACTGAACGGATGTGGCTCGATATTCACTTAATAACACTAATTTTGCTGCTTGTTCACATTTGTTGGATAAAATGAGCAGTAACTACACAACCCATTATAATTTTAGGCCTTTATTTCCTTGCATTATGTTGAATCCACTTATAGGTTAGCTTAATATAATAATGTACAGAAGGAAGAGGATTTATTCTGAGGTTAAAACAGGTTAACAGCTTTTTCTGCATTTTCAAAACACAATCATGTTTTTATACCAATCAAATAAATCATGTAAATGACATTTAAAAAATAAAAAAACAAATAAATATGATAAAATAAACAATAAACGGGTCATCAGCGCTACCATTTACCAAAAATGTATTATTTTTAAAATACAAATGACAACTTTTGAAGAAATACAAAGAAAGTAAGTCCACTGTCATTTCTTTTTAATCAGAAATTTGTCATTTTTTATTTCTCGATTTCATATGAAGCGTTTAGTTGGCATCACTGGTGTGCTGCAAACTTGAAAACAAATGGAGTAATCTATTAAACTTGTGAGTAGCCCACAGCATGATTGTCAACATGTGGTTAGATACCCTGAAGCAGCCATTTTGTAAATGTATATTTCATGAAAATTCTCTCTGTTCTTACTGTCGCACGTGTGTGTGTGTGTGTGTGTGTGTGTGTGTGTGTGTGTGTGTGTGTGTGTGTGTGTGTGTGTGTGTGTTCCGTCTCTGCAGTGTTGTGGAGTCTCTAAGTGGATGAATATGCTTGATAAATGAGAGTTTTGTGATGTTTTGCATAACCTCCAGCTCGGTGTTATTGCTCATCCAGGTGTGGAAAGGTCAGGCGGTTGAAGAAACCCGTTCTTCAGCATTTCACCATGTAAACCAGCTATATAATTAGATAAATACATTTTGGGAATTTAAGGATATGTCTATTTTTTATTAAGCAGATACTTGAACAACAGTAAGTACATGACATTGGAATTATATAGCATAGTAGTATCCTATATAATAATTAAATAATAATGAAAGATATGTAAATAACCATAACATTACCCTTATTCCAACCCAAATCGACCCCTCAAACAAACAAAAAAGCTCATTATTAAAAGAATTGTTAATAAAAAGGGTGGAAGGAGGTGGCTTACCGTCTCCACCAAATCACAGGGTTCCACATTTAATAAAATAAGCCTAATGGAAAAAATATATTGTTATTATTCCTAAAAAGTATTTACAAACATATTTGGTTACAAGCAACATTACTGTCTTACAACACAACACTTCTGACACCGTGTCCTAATACACACAACACCACAAGACTCCGGCGACAAGCTATTAGGTATATACCATTACTAGAGTATATGTATTATTATTATTATTTTTACATGCTAGTTGTTTGGGACAGCTGTATCTCCAGCAGAAAAGCTCTTCAAAGATTCTGTTTTGAATTGTTAAGATATCAGTGTTTTTGAAACTAATGAAGACAGCAGAAGTTTACTGTTAATAAATACACTAAATGTTTCTCAAAATTTAATATATTGTGTGTTCAAAGGGGGAAAAGGGTTTTGTTTCTTACCCAGACATTGATAAAGAATGTGAGTAAGAGCAGCAATCACAATATGAAACCATGACATTTATATAACAGGTTATCATATCCCCAGAATATTATATGCAGCACATCCCCATGCAGTGAAACGCAATGTGTCTGTAACACTATTAAATAGCTTTTCTTTTACATATTGTCCATGCACTCCCAACAAAATGCCAAGGGTTAGTCTCATTAATACACATTAAGGCAATTTAACATTATTAAAATGGGCTGGGTGAGGTTTACATAACTACATACATAACTTTTTTTCAGATCTGAGGTGAACTATCTGCTGCTGCTTTCAGTAAGTCTGGTGTTCAATAGAGAGGTGGCATTTATCACTGAATAAAGCACATAAGCTGTACCTGAGGCGATCATAATGCTGTTGTTTTCCCCCGACGTGGCGGACATAGACACCGTTTCTAAAATAGAAATTTCTAGCTTGGCTTTCGCACTCCTTTTTCACTTCTTTAAACACAAAACAACAGTTTTTATCGTATGTGTGTGTGTGTGTCTATCTAATAATAATCTTACTTGTTTCCACATTTCTCCATAACATAGTACTCAAGTTCACGCATTAACTGTCAATTCTTCAAATGGGCGGAGCTACCGTCAATTGCTGGAACAGCGGATTGGCTGATTTACCTCTGCAGTGAAACCAGATCATTTAATTGGCACAATTTTACCGCAGTGTAATTACATGTTTCCACATTTAATCAAAATAATATTTTATTTCTACATAAAAAAAACTAACTCCTGTTTTTGTCTTGTTTTTAGTGTAAATTGCTAAATATTCTAGACAAGATAAAATAGTTTTGTTTTCAGAAATATTGAGTCAAAATGAAGTGAGTTTCTCCTTAAAACAAGCTGAATCTGCCAATGAGGGAAGAAAACAGTGCTTTCAATAGATTGTTCTCCCCTATGGTCTGATTATTTTGTTTTAAGAAAAAAACACTTCATTTTGACTCATTTCTGTAAACAAGACTATAAATAATTATGTGTGTATATATATATATATATATATATATATATATATATATATATATATATATATATATATATATATATATATATATATATATATATATATATATATATATATATAT